GGTGGAATACCACAAAGAGAAAGTGTACCTAATAAAAATGTGATTTTGGTAATTGGTACATGTTTTCTTAAACCTCCCATAAGACCCATATTCTGGCTTTTAGCTGGAGAATATCCAACAATAGTTTCCATTGAATGAATAATAGATCCGGATCCTAAAAATAATAATGCTTTGGAATAAGCATGAGTAATCAAATGAAATAAAGCGCTTCGATAAGACCCCATACCTAGAGCTAACATCATATAACCCAATTGAGACATTGTGGAATAGGCTAAACCTCTCTTAATGTCTTTTTGAGCAAGAGCTAAAGTAGCTCCTAATAATACTGTTATTATTCCTATAACCGAGATCAAATACATTATGTAAGGTATAACTCTGAAAAGAGGAAGAAGCCGAGCTACAAGAAAAATTCCCGCCGCTACCATAGTAGCAGCATGTATAAGAGCCGAAATAGGAGTAGGCCCCTCCATGGCATCAGGTAACCATACATGAAGGGGGAATTGGGCGGATTTAGCAACTGCACCGGCAAATAAGAGAACAGCGCATAACGTAACAAATAAAAAATTGACCTCATTATTATAAATCAAGTTATTGAATATTTCGAATAAATCTCTAAATTCGAAACTCCCCGTTATCCAATAAAAACCTAAAATTCCTAATAATAAACCAAAATCCCCTACACGATTAGTTACAAACGCTTTTTGACAAGCATTTGCCGCAACAGGTCGTGTAAACCAAAATCCTATTAATAGATAGGAACACAGCCCAACCAATTCCCAAAAAATATAAATTTGTATCAAATTCGAACTAGTAACTAATCCCAACATGGAAGTACTGAAAAAACTCATATAAGCAAAAAATCTCAAATAGCCTTGATCATGAGCCATATAATTATCACTATAAATAAGAACCATAATTCCAACAGTAGTGATTAATATTGACATAATAGAAGTAAGTGGGTCGATCAAGTATCCGAAGTCTAAAGAAAAATCATTATTAATGATCCAAGACCATACATATTGATAAACAGAACTGCTATTTATTTGCTGAATAGACAGGTAGATTGAAAAAATCATGACTATGCTTAACAATAAAACACTCTGAAAAGCCCACATACGGCGAAAACTTTTTGTTGCCGTTGGAAAAAGAATAAGTCCCGCTCCTATTAACATAGGGACTGGAAGTGGAATGAAAGGTATGATCCACGCATATTCATATGTCTGTTCCATAAAAAAGTTTTAAATTCTTAATTAATTGTTTCCGATTCACCGGATCTTACCTCTTTTGAAAGGAGTCAATAAAAAGTAAAAATATGGACTAACTTAAACTAATTTAAAACTTAAATAGAATTTTTTTTTCTTACTTATTCTGAGTCTTTGCTAAATACTTCAACTATTCAAATCACGAAGTTACGATTGGTCAAATGATATAAAAGGGATTAATTACTAGTCTCCTTTGAAATAAGCCTATTTTTTATCCAAGTTTGACCAGTGAATCGAACGGGGATTCAAGTTTTTCATTTCCTGAAGTAAAACGCGGTTCTTATCTTTAAACCTTTCGAGGTATTTTATTGCATGTAAATGAAATGTGGAACCATAAATAGAAATCGAATATTTTTGGGATTCGTTATTTTATTTTTGATTTTTATATTAAGTTCAACAAATTTTCTTTCTTCATTTCTACAGAACAGCCGATTATCAAATTCTATAGGTATAGATTTGATGAATCAAAAAGAATGTGAAATAAAGATACCAGTCAATAGAGAACCTTTTCTTTTTTACGATTATGAATGTTTTATGAAATAGAAAAACTTGAAAAAAAAAAAATATTGGCCTTCTGTTTTTATTTCCAGTATTCTGCAACTTTCACATAGCTTTTGCCTATCTCGATAATGTTTTATTTGAGGAGGACACTATTAGCTCGAAAATAAATAGTAGTAAAAAGAATTCGTTTTGAACAATAGATGTCTTTCACATCCAGCTATAACAATCAATAATTTTTTAATTTCTAAATGGCAGTTCCAAAAAAACGCACTTCGACATCAAAAAAGCGTATTCGTAAAAATATTTGGAAAAGGAAGGGGTATTGGGTAGCATTAAAGGCTTTTTCATTAGCGAAATCTCTTTCTACCGGGAATTCAAAAAGTTTTTTTGTACGCCAAACAAAAATAAATAAGTAATAAAACGTTAGAATAATTTGAATCAACTTGAAAAAATAATTCAATTATTCTTCAATTAGATAATAATTGAATAATTGAACGATTTACCTTTCCTATTTGATATTGATTAGCTCACCAATCCATATGTAACGGAACTCTATTCGCTTTTCTGATTGATATATAAAATAATAGAATTAGGAAATCCTCTATTTACTATTCACTGAATAATAACTTTTTTGTTGACAAAAGAATAAAGATCATTTCTATTCCAAGGTGGGGAGTTTTATTTTCCCCATCGACCTATTTGCAGAATAAAATGCAAATAAAATTCTATATTTGCATATCTATAGAAGAACGTATATAAAAATCTTTAGTGAAAGTTAAGAACTCATTGAAAGTAATTGATTCTATTTTGAAACCTTTTTATTTTCTCTGAATTATTATATAGACCCCCATGTATATCTTGCCCTTAACCCAATAGAGAAAATTGCTTAATGAAATTTTGTATGACTAATTGTGAATTTTTAGCGATGCAAAATTGGTTCTTTTCTTTCTATTTTGTCGTCAAAATCCCTTTTTTGTTTTATTTTAGATTTATGAAAAAAAAATAAGAAATTGCTGCTTAAACAATGAAAACAAAAACTTTTTGAACTCTATTCCTTAATTGAGTATAGAAGTATAGAACGGTTTAGTTACAAGAGTTGAATTCGAGGAAAGTATAAAATATAGGAAAGTCCCAGGTTAAATAGGTTAAATAAAAAAAACTAAGACTCTAAACTCAAATCAAAAATAATGAACCTTCAACCTCAAATTCCTATTTGAACAACTTTTTATTGTTATTGATCCATTTGAATCATTACTAAACTAAAATAGCTTACTCAATCTCGACGATTGCTTATTCATAGGCTATTATGAGTTCAAGACAAGCCGCTATGGTGAAATTGGTAGACACGCTGCTCTTAGGAAGCAGTGCTAATGCATCTCGGTTCGAGTCCGAGTGGCGGCATAGCATCTTCTAAAAAGGATAAATAGATCTTATAATGAATTCAATTCCCGATTTCCATTTTAGAATTATGTAATTAAGGGACTCTTCTTTTTTAAGATTTTTTATGATATTTTCAACCTTAGAGCATATATTAACTCACATTTCCTTTTCGATCGTTTCAATTGTAATTACAATTCATTTGATAACCTTTTTAGTCGATGAAATTGTAAAACTATACGATTCGTCAGAAAAGGGCATAATAGTTACTTTTTTCTGTATAACAGGATTATTAGTTACTCGTTGGATTTCTTCAGGACATTTCCCACTAAGCGATTTATATGAATCATTAATTTTCCTTTCATGGAGTTTCTCCCTTATTCATATAATTCCATATTTCAAAAAAAATGTTTTAATTTTAAGTAAAATAACTGGACCAAGTGCTATTTTGACCCAAGGCTTTGCTACTTCAGGTATTTTAACTGAAATACACCAATCTGGAATATTAGTACCTGCTCTTCAATCTGAGTGGTTAATAATGCACGTAAGTATGATGATATTGGGCTATGCAGCCCTTTTATGTGGATCGTTATTATCAGTAGCACTTCTAGTGATTACATTTCGAAAAAACAGAAAGCTTTTTTATAAGAGCAATGGTTTTTTAAACGAGTCATTTTTCTTGGGTGAAAATGTTGTCGAAAATACTTCGTTTTTTTGTGCTCAAAATTATTACAGGTCCCAATTGATTCAACAATTGGATTATTGGAGTTATCGGGTTATTAGTTTAGGATTTACTTTTTTAACCATAGGAATCCTTTCGGGAGCGGTATGGGCTAATGAAGCGTGGGGGTCCTATTGGAATTGGGATCCAAAAGAAACTTGGGCATTTATTACTTGGATCGTATTTGCAATTTATTTACATACTCGAACAAATAGAAATTTGCGGGGTCCAAATTCTGCAATTGTAGCGTCTATAGGTTTTCTTATAATTTGGATATGCTATTTTGGGGTCAATCTATTAGGAATAGGGTTACATAGTTATGGTTCTTTTCCATCAACATTTAATTGAATTCAAGACAAGTTATTACAAATACAAGAGCGGGCGACGCATTGTATGAACCAGCATGCGGACCGTGTGAATCAAATATTGTATTGATGATTCACACGGTTTTCTACCATATGTAGTTCAATTTCATTGTTTTTACTTAATTCTTAAGTTAAGAGAAGAAAAAAAGTCTTCTTTTTTTCATTGTCCAAGAATGTTTTTAAAAACAAACATAGGTTTTTTTATTTCAGTCATCCAATTATCTATAAAAAAAATTAGATAGAATAACTTCGACCTTGTCAACTGCTAATGAAAGAACGAAATCGGGGTATATACCAATACCTATTACGGGTAAAAAGATGGAGATCGAAAGAAATAACTCTCGCGGTCCAGAATCAAAAAAAGAATCCTTCGGGGCGTTAAATAGCTTGTATCCATAGAACATCTGGCGTGGCATAGATAATGAATAAATAGGAGTTAATATAATTCCAATTGCCATTACAAAAGTAATTAGTAGTTTTGGAATTAAAAGATATTTTTGGCCGGTAATTATTCCAAAAAATACTATCAATTCGGCAACAAAACCACTCATACCTGGTAATGCAAGGGAAGCCATCGAAAAGCTACTGAACATCGTGAACATTTTTGGCATTGGAATAGCTATTCCGCCCATTTCGTCAAGATAAACAAGGCGGATTCTATCATAAGTCGTTCCCGCCAAGAAAAAAAGTGCAGCACCAATAAATCCATGAGAGATTATTTGTAAAAGGGCTCCATTAAGTCCCGTATCGGTTAGAGAACTAATTCCTATAATTATGAAACCCATATGGGAGACAGAGGAATAGGCTATTCTTTTTTTTAAATTCCGTTGGCCAAGAGATGTTGAAGCTGCATAGATTATTTGTATTGTACCTATTATCATCAACCAAGGAGAAAATATAGAATGGGCATGAGGTAATAATTCCATATTGATTCGAATTAATCCATACGCTCCCATTTTTAATAAGATTCCGGCTAGAAGCATACAAGTACTGTAATGTGCTTCTCCATGGGTATCTGGTAACCATGTGTGTAGGGGGATAATGGGCGATTTGACAGCAAAAGCAATAAAAAATCCAATATAGAAGATTATTTCTAAAACCACAGGATATGACTGATTAACTGATGTTTCAAAATTTAATGTTGGTTCATTAGAACCATATAAAGCAACACCCAAAACTCCCATTAAGAGAAAAACAGAACCCCCCGCCGTGTACAAAATAAATTTTGTAGCTGAGTACAGACGTTTCTTTCCTCCCCACATGGCTAGAAGTAGATAAACAGGAATTAATTCTAACTCCCACATGATGAAAAAAAGTAAAAGGTCCCGAGACGAAAATGATCCAATTTGACCACTGTACATTGCTAACATGAGAAAATGGAATAATCTAGAATCTCGAGTAACTGGCCAAGCCGCTAAAGTCGCTAAAGTAGTGATAAATCCTGTTAATAAAATGGGTCCTATAGAAAGTCCATCTATTCCTAATCTCCAATGGAAATCAAAAAAATCGATCCATTTATAATCCTCTACTAGTTGGATTAATGGATCATCCGATTGGAAATGATAACAAAATGCATAAGTTGTTAGAAGGAGTTCTAAAATACATATACATATCGTATACCACCTAATTACCCTATTTCCTTTATGGGGAAGAAAGAAAATTAAAGAACCCGCAAATATCGGAAAAACGACAATTATTGTTAACCAAGGAAAATAATTCGTAGTAAAGACAAGATACACTTGGACCAAAAAAACCCGTGCTCAAAATATTTTTATTTTCGAGCACAGGTTTGTCGGTAAAAAAATTAAATGGATTCAAGTAGAGTTTTCTCGAACGTATCAATAAGCTAGACCCATACTGCGAGTTGTTTCATGCCATAAATAAACTCGGACACTCAAGAAATCTGTTGGACAGGCGGATTCACATCTCTTACAACCAACACAGTCCTCTGTTCGTGGAGCAGAAGCAATTTGTTTAGCCTTACAACCGTCCCAAGGTATCATTTCTAATACATCAGTGGGGCAGGCTCGGACACATTGAGTACATCCTATACACGTATCATAAATCTTTACTGAATGTGACATTGGGTCTATACGTTTTTGAATGTTATAAATTTTCGATCTAGTAAACTTAGAAACGAATCATATATTTAGATACCAGATGAATCAATGAGTTATCATGATTTTCTAATCAACCCCTTTCTGGATTGGTTTATGAGATATGAGAGAGGCCAAAATACTTTGATTTCTTATGTTTTGCAAACAAGATCATACTTTACGTAGTAAACATGCTAATTAAAATTGATTTCTCAATATTAGAATCTAGATGATTAATATTAATTATTCAACAAATTTGATTGGTTGATACGAGTTGATTTTCTGTTACGGTAAATTGATGAAACAATAGCCAGGCCAATGGCTGCTTCAGCGGCTGCAATAGCTATAACAAAAATTGAGAAAATGTCTCCCTTTAATTGACGATTATCAAAAAAATCAGAAAATGTTACAAAATTTATATTAACCGCATTCAATATAAGTTCAAGACACATAAGGGCTCTAACCATATTTCGACTTGTGATCAATCCATAGATACCGATAGAAAATAAATAGGCACTCAAAACAAGTACATGTTCGAGAATCATTAAACAACTCCTTATCAATCTCGACTCCTTTCAATATGAACAACAATTCAACTAATTTCATTGACTAGTATATAACAAGTATGGAACAAAGAAATAGATTGGTACTAGATTGACCTAAAGTCTTTCTATTTATCCAGCTAGAATTCAAATAGAATTCAAGGAAAATTAATGTGATAAGACAGAACAAAATTTTATTTGAATTCCAAGTTTTAATAGAAATTTTTTATTGACGAGCTACAGCAATTGCACCTATTAAAGCAACTAAAAGGATTATGGAAATAAGTTCAAATGGGAGAAAAAAATCTGTTGATAAATGAATTCCAATTTGTTGACTATTACTTAGAAAATCTTGCTCTATAATCTGGTTTGATCTTGTAGTCCAAATAATCCCGTACCATGACGTATCTGAAATAGTAGTAATTAGTGAAATAAAAAGACTTATACAAACCATCGAAGTAATTCCATCTCCTACGGTCCAAAGATGAAAATCCTTGTAATATTCTGAGCCATTCATGAACATCACAGCAAAAATGATTAAAACATTTATAGCTCCTACGTAAATAAGTAGCTGCGCAGCAGCTACAAAATAGGAGTTAGATAGAATATAGAATAACGATGTACAAATAAGAACCAATCCCAAGGAAAAGGCCGAATAAATTGGATTGGGAAGTAATACCACTCCTAGACCCCCTAATATAAGACCCGATCCTAGAAAGACTAAAAGAAAATCATGTATTGGTTCAGATAAATCCATTTTTTATAAAAAATCAAAAACGAAGAATTTCATGACTTTATTGACCTGACCAGGAAAAAAGAAGTTTTTCTATTTTTTATGATACTTTGAAATTGTTAATTGAATGAAAGTCTAATGGGTATGAATTGACGTAGATGCTTTTATTTTATTGGACCACTATCCATTCTTTATTCGTCGAAAGAGTAGTTTAAACCTATCTATTTTTGATATCATTTATCTACTTTGAAACCATTACTATTATAATATATAATATTGAAATCGGTTTTGTTTTCAATCTAAATTAAGCTAGGAGTCTCATTAAGCAACCACTAGTTTGAATTGCCCAAGCAAAAATCTCATTGTTTTAGATCCGAACTAAGCCTTCGTAATTCGTAATTTTTTTGAATCGAATTAAGGGTTTATTCATTGTTTATTTGAGGTAAATTCGAAATTGTTCGAATTGTGTAATCATCAATTACTGACATTGGTAAGCGACCCAAAGCGATTTGATTATAATTCAATTCGTGACGATCATAAGTAGAAAGTTCATATTCTTCGGTCATTGATAAACAATTTGTTGGGCAATACTCAACGCAATTACCACAAAATATACAGATTCCAAAATCAATACTGTAATTAAGCAATCGTTTCTTTCGAATATCAGTTTCCAACTTCCAATCAACAACGGGTAAATCTATAGGACATACACGCACACATACTTCACAAGCAATGCATTTATCAAATTCAAAGTGTATTCGGCCTCGGAAACGTTCCGATGTGATCAATTTTTCGTAGGGGTATTGAATAGTTACAGGTAAACGATTTGCGTGGGACAGGGTAATCATGAAACCTTGGCCGATGTATCTGGCGGCTCGTATTGTTTGTTGACCATAATTTATGAATTCAGTTATCATAGGGAGCATATGTTGAATATCTATAAAAAAGATTTTATGCTTGTTTCTTTCTCTTGTTTGAGACAAGTCGTGAATCTAGGATATTGTGGTCTTTTACAGTGAAAGAAGTTGGGACGAGGTTGTCAATAATAGATTACCTAGAGAAATCGGTAAAAGAAATTTCCACCCAAGATTTAATAGTTGGTCCATTCTCAGCCTCGGTAAAGTCCATCTTGTTGCAATAGGAATGAACAAAAACAAATAAGTTTTGGCTAATGTGATAAAGATACCAATTAGTGTTCCAAAGACTTTACCCCCTTTATTTATGCCAAATAGCTCAGGAACAAATATGTACGGAATAGAAAGATTCCAACCTCCCAAGTAAAGAACTGTTACAAATAATGAAGAAACTAGTAGATTCAGATATGAAGCAATGTAAAATAAACCAAATTTGATACCTGAATATTCGGTTTGATACCCTGCTACTAATTCTTCTTCTGCTTCTGGTAAATCAAAAGGTAATCTTTCACACTCGGCGAGAGAAGAAATTAGAAAAACGATAAACCCGATGGGTTGACGCCACAAATTCCACCCCCAAAAACCATATTTTGACTGCGCTTCCACTATATCAACTGTACTTGAACTGTTAGATAATCATAGTCGATGATAACATCACTGTGCCCATCGCTATTCCAGAACCGTACGTGAGATTTTCACCTCATACGGCTCCTCAGAGGTCACAAATAAACCTAAGGGCCCTTTCCTATTCTTTATCTTGATATGTTTGTCAGATAGAGTCAAAATCTATCCTAAGGTCCCAAATTAGACCAATGGAATTCTGTCTGCTATATTTAAAACTAATAAATAAGTGCTTCTGAATTTATCTCATCTTTTAAGAATTTTAATTTTTCTTTGTTGATTAATAACCTTATC